GGTACAGTAGGTGATAGCTCCTTGAATCTAGAATTAGCATGATCGTAGTAGTGCTGAGCACTAGTAATAGTGGCAAGTGAGAAATCAGACAAATTCTCTTGGGTAGCGCCACACAAATCTTCAGTAACTCTCTCTGAATACCTAGCATCACCCTTTGTGTGAATAATTATCTACAAACATGGCAGAGGTCTAGAATGACCTCAGAGGGAGTGTCCTGAGAGAGAACAAGTACTTTGGATACAAACACTGCTATATATGCCTTCAGGAGTACAGACAAGTGCCATTTGGGGCTTGTGAACAAAGACCTCATGTTATGATGAGCTTGACAAGGAGAGGTTTGGCAAAATTCTATGGTTTTCTTTACCTCAGTGACTGTTGTCCTGATTGCGCCGAGAGGCTTCAGCGTTCCTAGTAAAGAGTCCAAGTCAGGCGCTTGTATCCCTTGACTATCAACCATGTAATAGTCAATGTTTAGCCTCCTCATTAGCCGGGTGGCATCGACTGTTGTCCTGATTGCGCCGAGAGGCTTCAGTGTTCCTAGTAAAGAGTCCAAGTCAGGCGCTTGCACCCCTTGACTATCAACCATGGTAATGTTTAGCCTCCTCATTAGCCGGGTGGCATCAGGACTTATCATCACAATCCTTACAAAAAGTAACTTAGAAATGAGCCCCACCCTGAGTGATATGTCTGGCTAAGCTATAACAGGAGTCAACTTGAGCTTAAATGCTAGATGGAAGGTCTCATTGACATCAAGCAGATTATAAACGGCCTTAGTGACTCACCTGAGGGTTGGAGAAGAGTTGGGATGTAAGAGGCAACTCTGATATACCTGGCTACAGACAAGACTTTGCCTCTATATTTTTGCCCCATGTACCAAAATGACACAAATATAAGCAGTCCAGGAAGAGGGGCAATATGGCTAAGGGACAACCTCTCCAAGTGTTTAGGCAATTAACCCGAGTCAAGAAGAGTACCCAATTTTTTAACTTCTTGAGCAAATGATAAGAAGATTTCTTCTGCCAGCCTATAGGACACTGCAGTTGCTGGTTTGCCTTCCTGTGATGGCGTATGAGTAGTAGTCTCAGTTGGCAGTTTTGAGAAAGAAATCTCTGGATAAATAGTTCTCCGACTTAAGCTACACCCCTTCTCTAAGATCTCATGGGTATAGGAGTTGCATGACAGTGTTGGGTAGAATACTTCTTCTGGAGCTCACGACAGTGCAGTATTGAGGCAGGGAGGTTGAAACCATGTATGAATGCTGCTTGAAAATGTACCACATGGTCACGTTGCAATTTGGCAAAGTCTGCCATGTAGTCAGTAGTAAACATAACGGGTTGACATGATGTTTAGGGACCCAGCGAGTACAGATCGGTCATCCGAAGCTGTTGGCAGCGAGTTGTCAGCATCCACCCAACACTAGGAACATCAGGTGGAATCATGCCCTTGTCCTCAAGCAGGCAAGATAATAATTGCTTCAAGTTTGGGCCAACAGATCTGAGGAGCTTAATCCAGTCACATGCGGCTGTGAGGTCTTCAGCCATCTTGCCTAGGTTTCCCTCTGGTAGGCCTGTAATTGCTTCTTGCTTTATCTTAACAAATGTTCGTGAGCCTATATGCAGTGACTTATTCCCCCTTTTAACCCAGCATCGTGGTTCTAGCAAAGACTCAGGCCTGAAGATTATTGATCTTCTCACAGATTGGGCAATGGCTGAGTTACAGAGTTAAAATTGTTCTGCTATGGAAGGCATGGTTACACTGTATAATTTTCTTCCCTCAGCTTATCTGCAGCATCAACAGTACAGCCATGAAGGAAAGCCAGAATGTTAAGGCCACTATGATTAGGGACCAAAATGCTAGTGATAATGTAGATGAGGAGAGCTTTACTAGCCTCTATGATAGACCTCAAGCTAACAGCCTGACTTAGGCAATGATTGTGCTTGATTTCGGAAACTTGTCTAGCAGAGACAGTGCATAGGCAGCATTGCTTTTATTGAACAAATAACGTAACCGAGGGTATAAAGGTTCCAGTGTATAAAGATCATTTGTCAAGATCTCTCCTTTTACAGTAATGTCCATCTGCATAAGGCTCAAGATTCGCGATGATCCCATCATTTCTCCAAGTGAATACTCAATCCTCTCCTTCAACACAACCTTAGGTTTCCGCAGCGGCCTAATATTAAGGCACGTGGGATCAGAACATAAGGTGATCGAACTTGGTGCCTGAGCAATGTACAGCTTAGCAATCTGGTGAATTTTTCCAGCTGAGACTCCGGCATGAAATAGCGGTCTTGAGTAGGTGGAGCTGGAAAGTCAAAGGGTCAGCAGTACCTTTGAACATGACCGAAGGCTGAGTGGCAGGAGAAGGAAGACCTCCCCATACAGGATCTACACGTGCAAGGGCTGCAACCAATTGGCTACCTTCCTGAATCTGCTTTGGGAGGAGCACCTTGATTTCAATGACATAGACAAGTCTTGCGCGTTGGTACACAGTCTCTGAGAAGGAAATCGTGAGGATTACTTCTGGCAAATACAGATGTTTCTTCTAATATCCTCAGAAACTCTGTTGTTGACGTTGACGGGGATGTTACGCTGAACTCGAGTTGTTAGGTCAGATGAGGAGTCCCAAGCAGTGGATACAGCTGACCGGACGCGTGAGGCAGCAGCAGAGAGATCATTTTCTGCAAGTCTGAGGAGGATGGAGTCTAATAAAGACTGTAAGGTCTGGTCTGTTTTGTGAGCAATCATTTTAGTCAGATTTCACTCGCAAGTGGGCCCAGGCCGATTGCTTCAAGTGAGTAAGTTTCGACTTCAAACCTAGCAGAGAATGGGTGCTAGCTGGCTTCTGGTATAAGTGATATCCCTTCCTT